TTTTTTTTTTTTTTTTTGGTACCAGGGACCGAACTCAGGACCTTGCGCTTGTGAGGCAGGCAGTGGAACTACTGTGCTAAATCCCTGGCCCTTATTACCTAATTTTAAGACTTCCTCTCAAGCTACAGTAATCAAGGCAGTGTTGGCATAAGGAAAGACGTATACATCATTGGAATAAAACAGAAAATCTGGAAACAGAACCACACATATATGTTCCACTGAGTTTTGAAAGATTATTTAACATTAACATTTTATAGAACATAAACTCAAGAGGAAAGGAAAAGATAGTGTTTTCAGCAAATGGTACTAGAACACCTGTTATCTTGTATTTAAAAAATTAACCTCAACCATTTATTTCCATACATAAAGATAACTTGAAAGGATCTAGGAACCTAAATATGAAAGACTAAAACTATAAAACTTTAAAAAAAAATTATAAGGGAAAACGTTTATGAATTTAGGGTAGGCAAGAATTTCCTAAGATACAGAAAACATAATGTATAAAAGAAAAAAATTGAGAAATGAGATTCCATCAAAATTTAGAACTTTAAATGACGTCGTTATGAAAATGAAAAGTCCTTAAACAGACCATTTTTATAATACATATAATCTATGGCCAGAATATATAAAGAACTCTTAGAGCTCATTAATAGACAACCCAATTAAAAAGTAGACAAAAGAAGATGATAAATAGTACAGCACAAGGAAAGGGGTGCAACACTAGAATCAGAAAAATACTAATCAGTACAATACCAAGATCATTCTATACACTCATTAGGGAGATGAAGTTAAAAGTTTTAAAAGAACAAATGTCAGCTTAGTTGTGAACCAGTTAGAACTTTCAAAGACTGCTAATGTGAATGTAAAATGATAAAACCATTTCGGAAAACAATATAGAAATTTATTGTATTACTGTTAAGAACCAACAGTTCTCTTCTTAAGTTTTTACTTAAGAGGAATGAAAACACATGTTCACAATAGATTTGTTCATACAAGTTGAGTGTCCCTTATCTGAAATTCTTGGAATTAGAAGTGTTTCAGATTTTGGTTTGAAATCCACT